TGAGTACTCAGATGTCACAGCTTCGGGATCAGGCTGAGGACTGAGGACAGGGAGATGAAAGGGGTGCAAGGGTGGGGCAGCTGAAAACTTGAGGCAATCAGGAAGAAACAGAAAGTCAGCCACGTGATTGCAAAGCAGGCAAGGGAGGAGCATGGAGTGGGAGGAAAAGGACTCTTCTAATGGGTCCTGAGCAGAGAGCACGGAGGGGACAACAGGACAAGGGATGGGAAAGCAAGGCAAACAGCAGCAGCAGCTGTGCCAAAAGCCACCCGAGGAGAAAGGGAGCAATAGAAGCGTAAGTGGCAACAAGGTCAGGATTTGTGTGTCCAAATTTGGATGTTTAATTGCCCAATAGCACCGTGGCCATGTGTTTTCTGTTTCCCTTAGGCGACACTAATTTATGCAATGCTCCTCAAAGGGAGATTATTGGGGTATTTGCAACAGCTGGGCCTGGACAGCTCCCACACAGAGAGAGCTCCTCCCTCCAAGATATGTGCTGCTATCAGCCTGAGGAGGCCAGAGGCCAGAAGACCCTTGGTGAGTCAGGGAGAAGGAACAGGCAAAGGGAGGCAGAGTTCAGCTTCTCTTCCACCCACTGTCATCTCAATCCTCAACTTCCTCATATCAACATGGGCCATTTGGGCTGCTCAGTGGGACTGTGAATGGTAGATCAATAAAAAGCACCTAGGATAGGCAGGCCCAGAGCACCCTGTGGGAAGCCAGAGTGTTAGCTGACATGGGTCTAACCTTAAAGAACTGCTCATTACCATGTTGGAACACACAGATGGCCCATAGGGATGATTTGAACCCATAGCTGCACATTAAACACAAGCCTCTCCTTAGGCTCTTCCATTGCTCCCTCCTACCCTGTCATTACACCGTCGCCGGGGTAGCTTCTCCATGCCTCAGCTCCCATTGGAGCAGAAGGAGGTACAAGAGATGAGCAGAGGTGGGGGTGGAGGCTTGGTATTCTCAGCACAGACAGGCTCAAAGAAGGGGAGACAAAAGTCTGAAGCCAGGCCACAGTGCCCATCAGCTCTTCCACTGGGCAGTCCCCCCTGGGGGCATAGAACACGTGACCAGGGCAAGCTGTGAGGCGATCTGGTCTCTGTGACAAGGGGAATAGGGGCCTTCAGAGAGACTGCACACACCACAAAGCCTTTCCACGGTCCAGCAGCCACCAAGCCCTTCATCAGGCACATGCTCTGGGGGACACTGGATGTCTGCAACACATCCCATCACATAGCAAAGTCTCTCTACCCCAGTTCCCCCAAGATGTCTTGGCTAATGGATGCTAACTTTGGCCTTCTGACTCCCCTGACTCCAGAATTCTGTCTGGCCTTGAAATAGTCACTCCCCGATGGCTACTCCCTTGTATCCTACAGGGCACTAGATGAGGAAAGCAAAGAGGCCGGTCATTTCTTCTGTCCCCAAATCACATCCACCTCCCCAAGACTTATCCATCCTGCTATAGATGGGAACTACAGTATTTATCTTGGGACAAAAAGAGGCTGACAAGGGCCCAAACTCACAGAGAACCCAAATTGAACTTGACCCTTTTCCCTTCCTCTGCCCACCTCTACCCACCCCCCACCCCCAACAACACACACACACACACACACACACACACACACACACACACACATTTACTATTACCCACAAGAAGAGAAACAGTAATACTTACATTGTACCAACTCTGGCTTTTCTGAAAAGACAAAAATAAAATAGAGAACGAAGTTAGTTAGGGAAGAGATCTTGGGAGTGGCTAGAGTATTCCTTCCCCCTCGGGTGAAGGTAACACAAACAGCAGAGGGTGGCCAGGGAGAAGGAATCCAAATGCAGCTGAATGCTTCCCATGTCGATGCTCAGGAGGGTCCTCCTTTCGCAAGACAGTTCCAGAAAGAAGGCCCTGGGAGCAGTCCATGCTGGAAGCCCCACCACAGCTGGGGCGGTTGGAGATGCAGGCAGTGGCAGCACTAGCTATCGCTCAACCAGAAGGGAATCGGAGCCCCATCCATCGCCATGTTCTACTGATGGGGGAGTGGGATGTGTAGTAGGCATCCAAAGCCTAGTCCCCAAGTGGGTTTTGACTAGAAGCAATGTCTAGGTGGAGCCCAATACAGCCTTCTGCTCCAGGTCATTTCTGGCAAAGGCAGGGTGGAATATTTTGGTGACAGGGGAAGAAGAGGCAGCCTAAAGTCACACTATGCTCCTAGCTGGCAGGTGAGTAAATTCTTCCTGTCCCAACAACTGGTTGACCTCCTAACAGGTAAGGCCAGAGGTTTGGCAGGGGAAGAAAGGAGAATTGTCATCTCAGAAATCTTCTCCCAACCCATGGCATGACAACTCAGTATTCACACACCATATTCTGTCCCAGCTCCACAGTCAAGGAATTATCATTCTGATCTCCCCAATGGATCTGAAATGTTCTAATGAAAGAAGATGAGTGGCTAGAGTGTGCTGTGTCTGTTTCCAACCTCTACTTGTAAGCATTCTGTGTGGGGATGTAGGGAACTTTGCCAACAGATTGAAGCCTCTATGTGATGCACAGTCGGCAGCCTGGAGTTTGTGTTATCGATGCAGAACTGGACAGCCACTGTGTCAGTTGGCAAGCTGTGCGTGTGTGCATGCACACACGTGTATGGGGGGGGGGCTATGAACCAGGGTGTGAAGGACTGTCTGCCTGACACTTTGACCTCTACTTTGGTGGCCGGAGACAGGCAGCGGCAGGGGATCAGGCATGAATATGCTTCTCCCTCACACAGATTTCACTGACTAGGGCAACTAGCTTGCCCAGGGCAACAGGTAACAAGGCAGACATTCAGTTCCCCTCTGCTAGGGGCTCTCTGTAGTCATTCCTCAAATGGATGTCACCGGGGTCTAATCTAGATGGCATGGTGGTTTTACCATAGTGACACCTCCTTCTCCAATCCAGAAGTTGAAGGCCAAATCCATGTATCCAAGACTATTTCATCACAGGGTGAGAATGGTTAGCTGGTAGGAAGGAATTCTGGACTTGAGCATTCCCATCGTTCACTAAGGCTGGTGGGGGATGGGTGGAGCAAGAAAGTTGTATCTAATGGGACCTGCATTTCTATAGATTTTTTGAATGGTCACTGTGACAACTGACTCTAGGACCACAAGAAATGGGGTTGTGTAGATGTTGGCTAACTGTACACCATGATGACAGCAAGTATACTCTTGCAGCCACCACCCAAACTATCCACAGTTATCCTGTAATACACTAGTCCTGACCCAAGCTAGTCACCTGCATCACAGAGGAGGAAATGCTCCCAACTGCACCTAAGCACTTCATTCCTGGCAACTTTTGTATACAACCTAAGGAGGAAAGGGGATGATGGGGAGAGGACCTGCATTCTGCCCGTGTAACATCAAGATGTTAGTCCCTTAAGAAACTACTTGAAACAAACAGCTTTCAAGGTCCCAAGAACTTCAGTTAGAAACATCTGTCCCATCTCTAACTAGTTCTTTGACACCTTTACAGCTAATACGTGTTATCTTAGAAAGTGAGAACAAGGAAGGAAGTCTAAGAACTGAAAGAAATGAGCAAGGCTCTCTCTAAAGCAAGGGCTTTGGAGGCCGTGCCCCGACCACAGCTCTACACAGTGTCTGCCAGGACTGAGGGTGCCTCAGGGACATCCACATTAGCCCTCAAGACTGTCCAGCAGGAAGGAGTTCCTGGGAAAGAGTTACATCCTCATGGTTCCATATTCCTGAGCAGAGGGCTGAAGGCACCTCCTGTGAAAGAAGGGCCCAGGAGGGTGACGGGGCACCAACAGGCAGGAAAGGGAGACTGCCTACCATTGTAAATCCGAGGCTGTGCCCCTACCTGGGGGATAAGGCTAGAGGGCAAGAAGGCACAGAACTAAGAGGAGGTCAGGTTCAAATAGCTTGTAACAGAAGATTAAAGGGGGAAGGGGGTGAGGGCAAAGACAGCTGTTGGAGACAGGGTTAAAGCTGGAGGTGGAGGACTTGTTCTGTGTCTCTTTGGACCTTCCTACAAGGAATCAGACAAACAAGGACTAGATGGAATGCAAGGCTCCTGGAAACATAGCCAAAACTACCTTACAGCAGTTTCCTGCCATCACATCCAAAAGCATCACCTAGAGCAAAAGCCCAAGGAATCTAGATGATGGGCTGAGGTGGAGGGTGAAGGGAGTGGGACCAGGAGCTCTACATTAAGCATAAGTTGGGAAGGGGGAGCAAAAAACAACGTCTTACTTTGATCAGATTAAGTTTGTCATACTGAAAAGAAAAACCACAAAAATTAGAATTCAAACAAACAAACAAACAAAAATGTGAAAGGTCACAGTAGTACCAGTGTCACAGCACTGGGCATTGCCAAGCACCAACAGAGAGCTAAGCTGCGAGGCAGAAGCCAAGGATTGAATGGCCCTATCCACTTGGCAGGTCTGCAAGGGCTGAGCAACACTCCCGAGCTAGTGGGGGCAGGAAAGCATACCCTGGCTCCCTCTAGTGACCACAGGCCATCACTACCAAGTGCAACTCGATTGTGGCCCAAACACAGGGGTTCCTGAGAGTGCAAGTCAGCCCTGGGACCTGAGCAGAAGCAAGAATCAGCCTCAACCACTGAGATAACGATGGGGAAGTTAAAGCCTTAATGATTCCCCTGTCCCAATCCTGTATCTAACAAATGAAGAAACAGAGGCTAGAAAGGGAGAGAGACACTGCATCTGCCACCTGTCCCCACTCTGTGAAGAAGGAGGCATCTTGCAGCCTGCTTGAAAAACACAACACAGGGTGCCCTCTTTGCAGGAGGAGGTGGTCGAGGTGGCGTAGCTAAGACTGTAGCAAAAACAGCTCTAGCTCACATATCCTCTGCACAGCCACATCTGGCCACCTTGAAAGGGCGCTGCCTGGGGAAGATGTGTTAAAAGCTTTGGCCTTACCCTAGCAGCACTTCCTTGCAGTCCAAGAGTTGGCCCTGCATTGAACCCTCTTCCCATGATGCCTCTGGTATTAATGTTCTGCAGTTGGTGTGTCTTGCACATGCCCATTACGGGTTGAGCATAATTGCTCCCTGTGGTCCTCCCCGTGTCAGTGGTCAGCAAGCATCATGCTGCTCACCAAATGAATAAGAGCTGTACACTTCACCCTAGGACTGGAAACACTAAAGACTCGGAGAAGAGGTGGAGAGAGGGAATAACTAGAGGGCCCTCTAGTACACTTTTCAGCTAAGGCAGAGGAGTGAGCACTCTGGCATAGAGACTAAAGGTCTTATATAACTCCTGTCCCCAGATATCGGGCCTGCCTGAACCTGCCTAGCCTCCTGCACCCAGAGAGGACCCCTGCTGGCTTCCCCACTTGAGTCTATCCTCCACTGGCAACAGCCACTTAAATCCTGAGAGTGCTTTGAGTGTGAAGGGCACAGAGGACAGGCTTAGGTGTGGGGCTTCATGTTCTTCCATCAGAAATGGACAGTGCTGTGCCTTCCTCCCTGAGGACACTCACAGACGCTGTTCTAAGTCTTCCCTCGGCTTCTTCCAGATGCACTGCTTCCCCGCAATTGATTTCCTGGGCACTATCGTCTTACTACCAATGGCTCACCATTTACTCACTCCAACTTCCCCTCGGACCGCAGAGATACTCGGGCCCTGGTAGATAGAGTCTGGCACAACTCCCTCCTGCAAGCATAGATCCATCCAGAACCTGGTGGGTATTGCCACATTCATCAACCTCCAGATGCTGGCACTACACCTTCTTTGATCAAAACCCGGGGCTCTAAGCAAACCATGAGTGAATTCCAGTGTGGTTCAAGCAAGCAGTTAAGGGTTCCCTGGCCAAGTAGCTCTCGGGATGGAGGGAAAGATAAACTGGGAAGATCCCGTGAGGTCTTGCCAATGTCACCGACCCTCTGTCATTGTTCTTGTCAGGCTCTCATCACTACTGCCAGAGAAGTTTGCCCATCAAGGGGCCACAAGAAACAACAGTTTGACTGAGTAGAGGCCCCATACACACAGGAATAGAACTACCCCCTGCAGGACTCTGCTTTAGAAAGTGCCACCCGAGGAGGGAAACACATTCCCACTAGTGGTGGTGTTTGAGAAGCAGGCAGACAGGGGAGGGGAGGGACGAGGGGGGGGCAGGGTCTGTTTTCTGACATCAGGTGCAGTGGGAGTAGTCCCTCAGTGACTTCCAAGCCAGCCTGCCAAGGGATGGGGGTGGGGCACAGTAGGGTCGGCCCTTCTGGGAAAGGGACCAAGCAGGACATATGGGCAGAATTGGCAGGGGTGGAGGGAGGGGTGCTGAGCTGAGCACTACAGACAATTCAATACTAGAGGGGGAGAGTAAAAGACAGAGACAAAAGATGGCTTACTTTTGAGAGGCGCTTGTGAGACTAAGACCATGCATGCAGAGAAGGTATATGGGAAACAGTGGGGAGAAGAGGAAGAACAAGAAATCAAAAGACAAATCCAAGTGGGAAACCAGCTCCCAAGCCTCCCAGGGTCGGGGGTGGGGGGGGCTCCCTTTTCTCATGCCCTGTGAGTCTGGCGGCTGAGGAGCACCTGGCTAGAGGTGCCAGAGACCTGGGAATGGTAGGAGAGCTCTGGGGAACCACAACCCCATGAGGCCTCTGTGCTAATCCTTGGACCAGGAGCCTTCGGGCTCAGGTGTACAGCTGGGGGGGGGGGGGCGCCCTGGGACTGTCCTCTCTGCAAGATGAGTAGATTAGTATGAAGGTAAGCAGGGTGTGGGCAAACAGCTCTCTGGGAGGCTCCCTGAAGCCTCGCTTTCTGACAGCACAGTTGTCCCAAATAATGTCTCTTTACCAGTTCAAGGGGCCAAATTTAAAACATTAAACAGATGACACCTCCTTATCCCCAGAGCCCCCATCTGTATCTCAGGGGTCATAAAATTCCTTAATTCCTACAGAGAGATGGGAAGTGGGTTGGGGCGTGAGGCACGTGGCTCAGGACACACACACACACACCCCAGTGTTTAGACGGGAATCTATTCGACTAGGGTCTCCCCTGCCCGCCCTGACCTGATCTGACCATATAGACACCGGGACTGTTCAGTCACCGGAGTACCCAGTACCTGCCTGCAGCTAGCTAACAAGGGATACTGGATCTCCATCATGGTCTGCTCACCTTGGAATTTTTACCACCACTCCGACCAGATTGTGAAGAGCAACTGCGTTGCACACCCTGCTCCGGGGTGGATGGGGACTTGTCGGAGGAGTGGTCTGAGCCCTTCTCCACCATGGTCTCTCCGTCCTGGTTCTGTGGTGTTGGCGAGCCGGACCGCTTCCGGAGGATGGGGGAGCAGGCCGGCGTGCTGCGGTTGGAGTTACTGGCAGTGCTGCGGGGGCAGATGGAGACAGGGAATGAGGTGAGAAAGAGAAGGAAGGAGGGAAGGCTGTCAATGATAGCAGGCCAGAGACCCATGCAAAGGACCCAGCCAGCTCAGGGAGCCCAGGCTGAGGAGAAAACCGGAGAGAGGGGCCCAGCTAGGGACTCGCTGTACTGTAATGCTGCTACTGGCCAGCAGGGGGCAGTAGTGCCAGTGTAAAAAGGGAAACAGGACTAGAAACCAGCAAGTAGGTATTTAAACCGTTCACCCACCCCAGCCCGCAATCTCCCCATCCCATCCAGTTTGAGCTTTTACTATAGGCAGAAAGCTACTAGGGGAAATAATTTAGACCCTGAAAGAATCATTGGCAATCACTCAGTACCACCAGCTCATTTTATAAACACTGTTTCAACACTTTTGTTCATGACGATAATCTCACTTCTCAAAGCATTCATATGCATATCATTTCACAGACGTGTCTTTTAAAAACTGATTAAGTTACTTTCTTGTGCACCTATGTGTGCGAGCATGCATGTGCCACGGCATGCCTGTGGAGGTCAGAGAGCAAGCAACTTGCTTGAGTCTGTCCCCCACCTTCCACAGTGTGAGTCCTGGGGAACAACTCAGGCCACTTGATTGGCAGTGAGTTCTTTTATCTAATGAGCCCACACACACACAATGTCTCAGGCCACTTGATTGGCAGTGAGTTCTTTTATCTAATGAGCCCACACACAATGTCGTAAGACATTGAACCAAGCTTATAATGGCAAGTGCCACTATCCTTAAGTTTAAAAATGAAGACGAATACCTGGCAGACAGAAGCAAGCCATCAAAGGACAGACTCACAATTGATGCTACTCTATTAAGTTATGCTGCTGTTCCACTGGGGCAAAGCCTTATTCTCATACCCCACCCTGCCCCAAATTCATCTCTTAAAAAGCTCCATGTACTTCCCACAGCACTAAATCCAGCTACCCCTCGGCATACCATCTGTTAATATAATAAGAATTGAAACTTGTCCTGTATTTTCAATAGAGGTAAAGAGAAAAACTGAATTAATTTTGCTTTGTTTTGAAAGGACAAAATCAAACAGATGCACAAAAGGGGACAACGAAGACTACTCAGAAAGAAGCAGGGGTGGGGTTTGGAGGGAATGATGTGTGAGATTACACAGCCAAAGAGCACGGTGGCAGGAGGGGGCAGGACTCTGCCCACCTGCTCAGTAGCCAGACTGGATAAGCCAGGCAACCATCTCAGGAAACCACATGCTGGCCTTGCCTCAGGAAGTACAGGGCAGGGTAGAGGACAATGACATTTGCATGAAGATCTGGCTGTAACCTCAGATGACCCCACTGCAGACATTTGCAATGATTGCCATGTCCTACCACCTGGATAAACTCAATAGAGGAGAGAGGCTCTACATGCCCAAGCAGTATCACTGGGGAGGCGAGAAAGTAGAGTAGAAACCAGGATTGGACCTTATTAGAGAAACAGAGAGAGAAAGAACAGGGAAAAAGAGAAAACAAATGTAGCCAGAAAGCCCAAGGTTTTGCTTCATCTGAACACACAGAGTTCAATTAAAATCTTGTCTGCCAATGATTTGAAGAAGCCCAAAATGTCTCTCAGAGGAGGCTGTCCAACCTCTCTCCTCATCCCTTTTCTCTGACTCTCTAAACCCATTCAGTACTATGAACCCTGGGGAAAGGAAGTTATATTCATTTCTTCAATTCCAGAAGCAGAGCCATGTGTCTAATGGAAGCAGACACCCTAGTCCTCTGGGAGAGCTTGGAGCGGTGGGGAGAGACCCAGGTGCACACCCATCCAACAAAGCCTCCTTTCTCTTGGGACAGTTCCAGCATATGTCCAAGTATTCAAGAGCGATCTTCCTACCTACTCACCCCCAACAAAAGAAAAAGAAAAACAAGAGGGAACACCTGTCCATCACAATCACAAAAGACCTTTCCCAGCTTTCTGAAACAAACTGCATTCTCAGATAGTCTGACTCTAGCCCATGAGTACCTGCTGATAAGTGGCTGCTGGGTGCAAATTCAAGTAAAGGGCAGGTAAAACAAACAATATCAAAAGTATAAAAACAAAAAACGGATGCCAATGAATAACAGGAATGAAGTGAGTGCAACGGTGCCACTCTTGCTACCAAGCTGATGACCCAAATATAATCCCCAGGCCCCACAGGGTGGAAGGAGAGAACTGACCCCCTGCAAGTGGTATTCTGACCTCTGCACGAGCTCTGTTACATGTGTGTGCACGTACCACAGTGTACATGTGGAGATTAGAGGACACGTTAGGGAGTTAGTTCTCACTTTCCACCATGTAGGTCCCAGGAATTGAACTCAGGTCTTCAAGCTTGATGGCGAGCACCTCTGCCTCTAAGTCATCCCTTGGGTCCCTTGCATCTTCTCATGTTACCCAAACTAGAATTTAGTTCTTCTCCAGTTGTGTTCTTCACCACTGTGGCTACTACTCTCTGACTTCAACCTGCCATTTGGGCAAGTCCCCTCTGCCATCAGCCCCACACACACTTGCTAGTCTGGCCCAACAATATTGTGCCCAGTAAATATTTCTTCCAGATAGATGTCTCCTGAGTGCCTCAGTTCCCAAATATCTGGCCATCTTCCTCCCAGACCTCTGCCCATTTCTGGCCCTTTCCCAAAGACACCATCATGGCTCAGAAGTGGCACCTCTCCTATCCCACCACACTGCATCCTATTCTGTTGCCATAGGCTCTTTATCCCATCCTTCCTTCCCTGTGCTGGGGTCCTGCCTCAGGTTCTCAGTGTGTCTTGTCTGGGCTTGTCCAACGGCTTTAGCTAAGATTTGAGTGGTTCCTGAAAACACTGAGAATAGTAAGAGGTCGTCGACCCTTCCATGCTTTGGCCCTGGCTCCAGTCCTTCCCTATACAAGAAATCCCTGTAGTTCTGCACGTAAGCAGAGTCACTGCTAAACCTATTAAAAGACCAGCCATTGTCCTGTAGGTTTGGACAGGCTGTTAAGCAAATAAAACCAATTCCTACTCATTTTGTACAGCAGTCTATCTTTCCAACTCTATTGTGTGCCCTTATCCTGATCCTACGGGCAGTAATTAATAGACTTGACACTACACTTGGGGATGGGGCTCCAAAGGACCTTACTTGCACTATAGGGAGGAAGACCAGACTACACTTGGGGATGGGGCTCCAAAGGACCTTACTTGCACTATAGGGAGTGCAAGTAAGGTCAATTGACCCAAATATTGGGTCAATAGACAAGACCACTGACCTGAATTCAGGAAGAGTCCTGCATGTAACCTTTAGCCTTTAAGAAACCTGAGAAACAGGAGAGTAAGTACCTGGTCAAGGTGTTAGGACAGTGTGTGTAGCACTAGAGTGCCACAAATATTTATTGGCCACCTGGTATATGTTAAATATTCCAATTCACACAGGTGAATAAGAAAAGTTCTTTGTGCTAAGGTCACTTACAGTGAGGTGGAGCTAGACATGACCTCCTCTCATTGGAACATAAGCTGCAGGTGGTGTGATCCAAGAAAGCAGGAGGAGGAAGAGAGGAAGGGAGGGAGGAAAGGAGAGAAGAGAGAAAGGGAGAAGGAAGGAAGGAAGGAAGGAAGGGGTGAAGAAAGGAAGGGGAGCAGAAAGGAAGGGGAGAAGAAAGGAAGGGGAGAAGAAAGGAAGGGGAGAAGGAAGGAAGGAAGGAAGGAAGGAAGGAAGGAAGGAAGGATGAAAAGCTTTCCTTGAAGAACTGGGTTCAGAAAATGCATTGGGGTTATTCAGGTAAAGACACAGAAGTCAAGGCAGAGCAGAAAGAAAAAAGAGAAAAAGAAAAATCAGCATGAAGAGAATGAAAGTCTTGAATAGAATGGAACACAGGGAGAGTGACAAGCTGCACCTGAAAGTTTTGAACTAAGCTCAAGAGCATTCTATAATCACCACATCTCCCTAACAACAGGCCCACTAAGACCCTGCTGGTTGACCCTAACCCAGAAAGACACACACCATTCCCCACCTCTCCTATGTGTAAGACTGGCAACAAAGACTTTCACTCCTGTCCCAGTTACCTTGTGACAGAAAGTGTGTCCTTAAGCCTCACCACCATGTCTCATAGTATGTATGTATGATCATGGCCTACTCCCTATACTCTGGTCTGGCTGCAGTCCTTGAGCAACAAGGAAATACAGCAAGAGAACAAAGGGTTTCTTTCAACCAGGTCACTCTTTACAGGTTCTTCAACCTGCATCTCACACGCCCTAGTAACTGTACCTCTTTTCCTGGCTTTCTGCCCCCATCCTTATTCCTAGTGAGGTCCTGTGGGCACAGGCAGACCTTGTCAGCACACCAGCTCCCTGATCAGCCACCCGTGCATTTTTCAGAACTCTGAGCCAAGCTCAATGGTCAGCTGATGTTCTTTATTCAAGTTTATGTGTTTGTCTTTATGAGAGATCGTTTCTGCTCCAGATACTGCAAAATATATACCTGCCACTCCGGATGCCCTGTGCCTTCATCTTTTTGGATGACAGCCTCTATCCTTGCGATCTTGTGGTCCCACCAGCCCCACAGCTGTAGCTCATTCTTGATCAGATTCCCAAGCCCAGCCCTAAGGTTCCCTTAACGACCAAATGCTACAATCCTCTCACTACCAAGGAGCACTGGTAACTTTTAAAATGACTCTCTGTTATATTCCAGGGCACTGCCATCAGGAGAGCACTACCCTTGAGATCTGGGCATTGCACCTCAAAGCAGTAGATTAAGGTAAATCACCAATGTGTGTCATGAGAGCAAGTCCAGCTTGAAGGCCCACTTAGCCATTTGCTTTCTGTGTTACCTTGATTCTTGAGTCTCATTCTTTCTTATTTGAAGAGACCTAGCACAATGCCTGATGCATACCCAGTCCTAATAAAGAGTTGGGCCACCAAAACGGGTTCTAAACTCCCTTGGCCTCTTTCCTCGGTCTTTGGGTTAAGTGTAAAAGATATAAATGCTTCCAGACACTACTCATA